GAGGAGTTTCCCAATAACAATTCCCTGACCCCCAGACCTTGGTTAGAAACCCAAAGACATCAAACATATCCCTGAGAAGTTTTTTCCCTAGAAACTGGACTTTACTGTAGCAGCCATGAGTATGTCCAACAGAGGTTGCCAGACTACTGATAGCAACCAGGGAGTGAGGGTAATAAGTCTCTGAAGGGTCATCCCCTCAAGAGAAGCTGCTCGAAGAGATCTGGTATGCCTGGCCTGAGCTATCTTGCAATTCCTGGGGGCCCATGGCTAAAGTTTTGAAGCAGGAAGTAGGCATCTTCTTTGTAAAGTGAGTTATTCACTCCTACTTTCCAAAGTGACCCTGTTCTCTCACAGCAGCTCTGTGTTATTGATTAGAGGAGCAGGCAACTGTGATCATAGATGGTAGCTCTGTCCCAACTCAATTGGAAGTCTTAATATCCCCATCCCAAGTAGACCTTAGAACAGGCACTAAACTAGGGGTGACCAAGACTTAAATCTTTCTGTCTCCCTCTCTCTTTTGGTGGTGGTACTGGGAATTGAATCCAGGGCAAGTGCTTTATCACTGAGCTATACACCTAACTCTGGACTTAAACCTTAACTGAGCTTCACTTTCTTAGTCTGTGAATACATATTTATTGAGTGCCTACTTCATGGGGGGTGCTGAATATGTACTGGTAAATAAGCTGGGTGTATAGTCCCTGCCTTCATGAAACAACTGTAAGAAACATTAAACATTGTCCATATAATCTGTTAACCACAGCTGTGAAAGGTCCTGCTGTGTAAGGAAAAACGTTGTTTGTAACAAGGGTATAAAATGGTAGCGATCATACCAGTTCTAGAAGATCAGGGGCTTGAATGTTCACAAACTGAAAGCAGGCCAGAGTAGAGGGGCATGATCCAGGGACTGCTGTGGGGAGAAGGGTTAGAAACCTCTTTGAAAGCAAGAGTGAGAGGAGAAAAGTAGATGTGTAAAGAGAAAATGGTCAGCGCTTCGTAACTGGCTAGAGGAAAGTAAAGGGTAAGATGCTGTCAAGGATAATTTCCAGACCTGTGGCAGGAATAGCTGCATGCTTATACATACATTTAGGGAGGATGGACCTGAAGGAGTAGAAAACTGGAGAAGTTATTTTGGGACATGTTAAGTGTGAGATGCCTGTAAGACATGCGCTTGGTCATATCATGGAGATAGAGACAAAAGTTTGTAGCTTGGAGAAGACTAGATTAGAGATTTGACATTTGGGAATTGATGACATAAAGTTGGTACTTAAGAATGTGGGCCCAGTGAGATCTTCCAGAGAGGGAGGGTGTGCAGAGTGAGGAGAGAGAAGTGGCTGTGAGCCTGAGAAGAGTGGCAAAGAGGGCAAAGAGGGAGCCAGGGAAGAAATGGCCAGAGAGATAGAAGGAAAACAGGAGAATGGGATATATCAAAAACCATAGTTAGTGTTATCAAAAGGGCAAATGTTAGGTGAAACCATAAGAAAGTGCTTTCTCTTTTGGTAGCCCAGAACCAGACAAAACTAGCAATCTCATATGGTTCAACTTGGCTAGTCCTGAAACCTGAAAAAGTAACTAGTAACCTTAGCCTGAGAAATGCCAGTAAGATGTTGGAATAGAAGCCAGCCTGGAGGGAGAAGTGGATAGATGGAGAATAATAAAGCATTGGGTTTGATAGGACTTAGTGAGTACAGATGTGGGTGAGAGGGCAAGATCAAGGGCAATCCCCAGGTTTCATGTTCTGCAGCAAAATTAGTGGTGTGAGCTGGTGAAACAGAAGGAAGTAGCTTGGAGTGGAAATGCACAAATTTGGGAAGATATGAGTTTAGGGTGGGTGGAAGGTGAGACACCTCTGAGCCTTCCAAATGGGAGTATGAACTGACATCTGGACCTATGGGTCTGCAGCCATTCCTTACTACCTCTGTGTCTCTCACTCCTAAATAGTCTTTGGGGAGTCAGAAGTGTTTAGATGGAGCCAAACTAAGTAAACAAGTATTTACCGAGTACCCATTAAATGTGAACATTTTCCTAGGTGCTGAGTCTAACACCAGTGATCAAGACAGTTCCTCTACTCTTAGAGCTTATAGTACATTCTCTAGGACAGATATTAGGCAAATAAACATAAAATAACATGTAAGGGGTTGGGTATTGTGGAAAATAACTAGTTTTGGTAGAAGATCTCTCTGAGGAGGTTAACAGTTGAGCAAAGCTCTGGAGGAAGTGAGGGCATGATCCTTAAAGATGTCTATAGGTATAGGCAGGAAGAGGCTCAACAGGTTTGAGGAACAGTAAGGAGGCTGTGGGGCAGGAGTGAGGAGGGATGGTGAGGTTGGGGAGGTGAGCAAGGGCCAGATCTTACAGGCTTATGGGGCTCTGTAAGCCTGGGGAAGGAGGATGCAAAGTCTTCTAGACAGTGCCAGGCTGCTAGAAGGGCAGGGTCTGGGCAAGAGAGAATCCATGAAAGACTCTCCCTTCTTTTAAGGTCCCAGAGCCAGAAAAGCCCCTTTGTGCAGAGGGTGGGTGGCTAGACAATGGAGCCCTTTGTGATTGGACTTGGGGGCCAAGTGCTCCCTCAATTATGAGATTCCTCAGCCAGGAGGCATGTGACCCTAAGACCTTGACTTTTTACCAGAGGGTCTGGGCTAGCTGTTGGGGAATGGTATGAGGGATGGGGAGAAATGGGGGGCTGCAGGTTGGGGAGTGGTGGGGCAGCTTTCTGGAGACAATGCTGTGTCCTGCCTTAAGCTGGAGGTGGTAGACATGGGTAGTGGAAGGGGCTGTGACTGTTTGGGGGAGCTGGGAGGACAACTCAACAGATGGTTCTATAGCAGGAGGGCAGGGAGGAGCCACTGCCCCAGGCCCAGTGAGTGAGGGCAGGCATAAGAGGGCTTGGTAATCCTTTGTCTTGTGTCCCTTCAGAAGAGGAGAGATCATGGAGCTGGAGAGGATCGTCAGTGCAGCACTCCTTGAGTTTGTCCAGACAAACCTCCCAGAGGCTGACCTCAGGTAGAGAACCAGCCAGGGCTGAGGCTGTGGCTGCCAGGCAGTGCTCTGGGGCCTGACCAGTGGCAAGATGGGTGGAAAGCACTTGGCTGAGTTCCTGAGATGGGGAGGGCTGATTTAGATTTGCTGAGGTGGCCTTACCTGTCATCTTGCCATTACTTTTATTGGATGGATTGAAAACCAAAACTCTGAGGAGGAGGGGAATACTCTTTGCCCTCAAGGATTGAGGTCTAACTCATAGACCCTGTGAAGTCAAAGGCTGGAGTCTTAGGCTAGGTAGGAGTACTACAAGTGTAAAGTGTTCTACCTGGGGCTTGTCCTGTCCTCTTCCTACAGTGGCTTGGATGAAGTTATCTTCTCCTATGTGCTTGGGGTCCTGGAGGAGCTGGGCCCCTCAGGACCATCAGAGGAGAACTTTGATATGGAGGCCTTCACTGAGATGATGGAGGCTTATGTGCCTGGCTTTGCCCATATTCCCAGGTAAGGCCTGGCAGGGGCTAAGTGGATGGGGGAATGGCTGGTTGTGCGGGGTAGGCAAAGTAGTCCTCTCTCTGCCTTCCTCTTCCTTTAGGGGCACAATAGGGGACATGATGAAGAAGCTCTCTGGGCAGCTGAGTGATGCCAAGAACAAAGGTGAGTCTGGGATTCAGACACTTGGGGGATTCCTAATCCTTCCCCCACGCCCCTGGTAAACCTGATGCCCTCTCTACCTCTTTTAAGAGAACCTGCAACCACAGAGCTCTTGTATCCAAGGTCAGGTTCCCATCTCCCCAGAGCCCTTGCAGCGGCCTGAAAAGCGCAAAGAAGAGGCCAGGTCTCCTGCTGCTGCTGGGGACACCCAAGATGAGGTACTAGTAGAGGAGGATACTGATTAGGGACCTTGGGGGTGGGAAAGGAGGAAGTGCTGCCTCTTGTCAATGTTTGTGCCCACAGGCAGCTGGCACTGAGGAGGAGCTGCTTCCGGGCGTGGATGTACTTTTGGAGGTGTTCCCTACCTGTTCGATGGAGCAGGCCCAGTGGGTGCTGACTAAAGCACGGGGGGACTTGGAAGAAGCTGTGCAAATGCTGGTAGAGGGGAAAGAAGAGGGGTCTCCAGCCTGGGATGGCCCCAGTCAGGTATCCCATCCTAGCCCTGTCCTCCCACCCACACAGCCTAGGCTTGTTGTTAAACGGCCCTCCCCTTCTCATTCCCATCTGTTTTCCCTGCTGGTGCCGTTGGATCTACATGAGACCTCTCCTCTCCACAGGACCTACCTAGGCGCCTCAGGGGGCCCCAGAAAGATGAGTTGAAGTCCTTCATCTTGCAGAAGTGAGCCTGGGCTGGGCTGGGCTGGGCAGGGCAGGGCAGGGCAGAAGGGTCTTCCTAGGGTGGCAGGAGCTTCAGCCATCCAGTTTTTGGCAGGTACATGATGGTGGATAGTGCAGAGGATCAGAAGATTCACCGACCCATGGCTCCCAAGGAGGTAAGAGGGTTGGGGGCAGCTAGGGATGGGAAGTCAGGAGACTGACTCCTGGCTTCTTCTACTCACTACCTGATTGCCTGATTGCCCAACAGGCCCCCAAGAAGCTGATCCGATACATTGACAACCAGGTGGTGAGCACCAAAGGAGAGCGATTCAAAGATATGCGTAACCCTGAGGCTGAAGAGATGAAGGCCACATATATCAATCTCAAGCCAGCCAGGAAGTACCGCTTCCACTGAGGCACTTGCTGGACTCTGCTGGAGCCTTCTAGGCTCAGATCCCAGAGGGATGCAGGAGCCCTACACCCCCACACAGAGGCCTCCCTTACTCCTGTCACCTTCTTTTTCCTTTTCTCTACTTTGTTGTTCCACAGTGTTAACCTACTCTCAAACCTGCCTCCAAGGGCACAGTAAAGATGGCCCAAGGAAGGTGTGAGTGCATTCTGGTCATTTTTGCCTCATGGCTGGAATACTAAGCCTGTCTGACCTTTATTCCCCAACCTTACATTCCCTGTGTCCAACAAGGCAGCACCAGACAAAAGAGAGTAAAAAACTCTTTATTTGAAGTTCCAGGATGGGGCAGGGCACTGGCCTCTCACCAGAGGTCTCCACAGTTCATTTTCCCTACAGCTCAGTGTCAGGCCCAGCCACACAGTCCAGCTGTGCTCTCATTGGCAGGAGGGTCAAACCTGCAGGTTGACAAAGGGTGCGAAGCCCGCCATGTCCTGCAGCAACACCAGGGCCTGGTGCAACGGAGGCTCCACATCGATGTCCACACCACGCTTCCGCAAGCGGCTCAGGCTAGGCTCAGCCACGTGGTGGCAGTGCCGCACCCGCAGAGAGCGTAGTGCTGGGCAGTACTCCGCCAATGTCCTGAGGAAGGAGGGGGAGAGGCTAGAGGCAGGAGGCACGCATCCAGCCTCCTGCAGGCTCCAGCAAATTCCAGGTCTCCCCGCAGCTCAGGACATTTTTTTTACTCCTATTTTTTTTTTCTCCGATCCGAGGGAGAGGACCTGAATGGGATCAAACATTCCAGGCCAACAACTGGAGGTTTGCTGTCTCTTAAAGGGGAGGGTGGGGATGTGCTCCTCAGCTCCACCCCGGACTGTAGGATTTCCCCTTGTTGAAGAAAAACCAGAAGGCGATTTTGTGTGTGAAATCTCCCAACGTGTTAATGCTAGCTCAAGAGTTTTGAACTGGGTTTTCTGGCGTAGACACGCCTAGAGGCCTTTCTGTTCACATTGGGGGTGCCCTGGTTAGCAGGAAGGTCCAGAACTCTCATTTCGGTCTTTGACAACTAAAGCCCACTCCTCCCCCACAAGGCTGAATGATTTGCCCTCCTCCCACCTCACCCACCCCCAGGCACCTGACGCCGTCGCTTCCGACGCGGAGGCAGCCAGTGAGGTCGAGGTGCTCGAGCTGAGGGCAGTTCCGAGCCAACTCCTGGACTGCTGCATCCCCGACATTGGCGTTGACCGCCAGTGAGAGGCTGCGGAGGCCGGCGCCGCGTCTCTGCGCCAGGTACACGATGGCCTCGTCCTTGAGCTGACGACATGCAGTGAGGTCCAGCTCCTCCAGGACGTGGCAGCGGTCAGCTAGGCCGCGTAGCGCCAGTCCGTCCACCCAGTCACAGTGCGCAAGCGACAAGCGCTGCAGGCGGGGGCACCCCTCGGCTAGAGCTCCTAGCACGCGGCGGCTCAATTGCCCGCAGCCGGCCAGTGCCACACTCCGCAGCTGCGGATTCCGTGACAGCACTGGTACCAGGTCCTCGTCCGATAGCCACTCGTGACACGGCGCCAGCGCCAGCTCCTGCAGCCCCTCGGCGTCCCGCAGTAGCCGGGTCAATGCAGCCCGCGGGATCTGCGGACCCACCTGCGGACGGAGAGGCACCAGACCCTCAGCTGGTCCCGGGGGCGGGACAGATGCTGCCTATCCGCCGCTGAGTTCTTTCTTGACAACCCTTTTGGCTTGACACCTGCCCTTCCAGGAGAGAGGCCACGCTCCCTTTTGAGTCGCTACCTAGTACTCGTCCCTTGGGGCTACTACATGCTGCGAGGATCGCTTCCCAGGCAGGCCTGGCTGCATCTGGGGCCCCGAAGGGTGCACAGCGTAGTTGGGGGCTGGGCTAGAGACGAGGCGGGGGTGGTACCCAGAATGGGGCGGGTCTTCGACCCCGGGCTCACCTGAGCGGCATCGAAGCGGCGCAGCCCGGCCAGGTGCAGCTGTACTAGCGCACGGAAGGCCCTGCTAACGCGCTGCAGCCGAAGCAGCTGGCGCAGCGGGACCCGGTTCAGGACGTGTGGGAGCAACACGTCTTCCCAGGGCAGGTCCAGGAGTCTGAGGATAAAGAGGCATTGGTATCCGTGGACCGCTGTTTACTTGCGAGTCCGCCTCCGTTAGGCTCCAGCACCGGGGTTCCCAAGAGCTGCCCTCGGGCCCAGCCTAGGCTCATCTCCCTCCCCTGGGCATCTCTTCCTTCCCTCGGCCCCTCCAGTGCTCGGTACCTGACGGCTCCGGGTTCTTGCTCCCCTCCGGACGGCTCCATTGGTGGCTCCTTCGGTTGTCTAATGCGCGTGCGCAGTAACATAAACTCTAGCTTTGGCCTTGGAGCTGCTGCGGCGAGCCCGCCTCTTTGGGTTGTAGAAACAGACCGATTCAATCGAGTGCCGTTTCACTGATGATCGTCTCTGAAAGCTTTCCGGTTGGACCCCGAAAGTGAGAGAGAACAGAGTAAAGGTGTAACATTAGACCTCGCCTTCTCGGCCAAAGGGCTCAAAGCCCTGGACTGGAGAAGTGGTGGACGAAGACTGGTTTCTGCGTTCTTCATGGGCCTGCCACAGCCTCTAAGTGAAGTAGGGATGGAAGGAGCAGGAAAAGCCAAAAACCGAAGGGGCGGAGCCAAGACTCTTGGGTTACCGAGGACCTCCTCTCTGTCTGTCCTCTGGTGGCATTTAGAGACGTTAAAAAATGGGGGAAAACTGTATAGGGTCTTACTGTCTGACACGCAGTAGGTGCTTAACAACTACTGAAAGAACAAATAAATGGTGTGATGCTGGAATTTTTTCGTTTCATTAAGCAAACGTATTCAAACCTCTCATTCCTGGTTAACTGTGAAGTACAAAACTGTCCATCCTCTTCCACTTCCAGACAGTGTGGGCCGGGTTTTTGCCTAGAGAGACGTAGGAGACGCAATTCAGCTCAGACCCTTTCTTTTTCTCTAGAAGTTCAGAGTCCTGAGAAAAATGTGTATTCAGTTCAGCACAGGGATACTGTTTCTTGGCTGGCCTTAATTGTGGGATCTGGGGCTGGGCTCGCTGTGTCACAAGGACCATCCAGAGCTCTGAACTCAGCCACCAGGCTTCCCTTTTACCACATCCCCGTGTCATCGTTTCAGTTCCCATCCTGGGGAAATCTCTTGATTTCTTCACCATCCAAGGGGTAGGTGAAGGGGCATGTGAAGAACTCAGGTTTGCAGGCTCCTTCTGTGCTACCGCTGGAGCCGACTCTACATAACTTAAACTGCTTTCTACCCGCTATCTTATCAGGACTTTGGGCATCTCTTCAAGGTGGGCAGGTCTTGTCCTATCACTCCGTTTTAAAGATGCGCAAATCGAGGTTCTGGAGAGAAAGCGTCTTGGCCAGGATCAGACAAGACACGGGTAGACAACCCAGACATCCTGGTTTTCCCAGAATCCCTTCCACGCTCTATCACCCCTCAATGTAGCAAGAATGGAGAAGCCAGAAGCGGGAAAGGACCAGAAGAGGGTCAAGTTGGGTGATGGGCTTGCTTCCTTTTCTTCCTCAGCCTTAGGGAAGGGGTAGCTGGGAGGACCAATCTCTGCAAAGATAGAGCCATGTGGGCGCGCACCACCTCCGGCCGCGCGCCTCCTTCCTCCCCCTCCCCGCTTTGTTCGCACCTCTGCGCCTGCGCACTACAACAAATCTGGCGCTGTCCCCTTCAGCACCACGCGGAACCCGCGCCACCCCTCCCCGCGGTGAGCCCCGCGCGCCCCCGCCTCGCACGTCCTCGCTCCCCCTGACTGCCCAAACCGACCCCTTCCTTTAGAGGTCATCATCTGCTCTCCCTGGCCTAACCAAGAGGAGTAGTTGCTATAGAAACTCGTGAGGCTCTTTCTTAAAATAACCAGACCCCCTTCTACCCGGGCAAAGGGCACAAGGGGTGCCTGTCCTCCACTTCTTCCAGTCTCGAGGTCATCCCATCTAACCTCTTACCCCTGGGAGGGAAGGATAACTAACTCAGCGAGGAAGTTCCTCCTGAAGTCTGACTTAACATCCCTCCTTCCGCACGCATCCTGGGTGGGTTGTCAGGATTGGGTCACCTGAGCTGAGACGACGAAGGGTTCAAGACGTGTATCTTCACCTCCCTTCCATAGTTGGTCTTCTGGGTTTAGGGGGCGGGTCCGGTGTACACCCCTACCGTGTGCTTTGCTTGGCCCCGTGCTCGTGGGGGCGGGAGCGCGTGTGGCATGTAACAGGTCATGTGGCAGCCTCCTGGGGACACGCGTGGGGTCTGGAGCAGGACACGCGTGTGCAGCTGGGCCCTACGTGTGGCTCAGGAGGCAGAGGACGAGAGGATCTGGACACAAGTGTTGTGGGGCATGTGAGGGTCTGGCGAACAAAACGAGGGGGGGTGCCTACGCTCTCCCCCTCGTCTAGGGTGGGTCCTAGGTTGGCGGGAGAGCCCAGTGGGGACCTAGAGACCAGGAGGGTTGGAAGCCTCAGAGACTCAGGGCCCTGGGAGGGGAGGGGGTGGGGGGATTAGCGCTGCTGAGCGGCGCGTGGGGGGGGGGTTGGAGGAGGGACTGAGAGGCGGGCGGGCCTGGAGCAAGCGGGAGCCGTGCTGCCTTCACAGCTGAGCAGGGCCCAGCCTCTCCTTTGCCTCTCCTCGGTCCCAGCTCTGGACGAGCAGCGGTGAGTACTGAGGTAGCTCTGAGTAGGGGCTGCACAGGGGACACTCACGAGGGCCCTGTTGAGCTTCAGGAACCTACCTGGCAGGGTTGCTGCTCCTGGCCTCTGCCTCTACACCGCATTGCTACCAGAGCCCTCTTATCCCTTTATGGTCCCTCCTGGGCTAGGCAAGATCTGTCATAACCCTAAGGGGAGGAGGGAAGGAGAGGGATATGGTGCAATCTTACCCTCCAGAGATCCCGTGACTGTTGAGGGGGAGGGGACAGTGTGTGTCCCTGCTTGAGTATATGTGTAAATGTGCATCTGTATTTGTATGTGATTGTGACCAGTAGGTTGCTTGTACAATACACCTGTGTCTCTGTGTGCCTTGGAGAATGAGAGCCTGTGTGTACATTTGGGTACCTCTTTGTGTGTCCCTGTTTGGTGATGGTGTGTGTGTAAAACAAGCATGTGCCTTTTCGTTACACACATATTTGTTATGACTGTGAGAGTGTATGAGGGTGTGTCTTTGAGCAGTATGTGTGTGCATCTGTGTCTGTGTATGCCGGAGGGTGTTGCCCATGAATGTTTTTGTGTACTGATATATTTGTCTTTATGGGTTTTTTTGTGTGTGCATGTGTGTGTGCATGTGTATGCGTGTGTATGCATGTGCATTTATACCCGTATGGAAAAAAAAGACACGTATCTTTTCCATTCAGCATACAATATCTATGTATTAAAGACAGAGGTCTCTGTTCAGGCCTCTGCTATGCCTCTCAGCCCTTCATCGTCCCTATATAACCCCTGTTCTTCCTTTCCTTCCAGAAGGTCTGAGTTCTCCCTCTCTGAGTGAGGGTCTCCCATAAGAGGGACTATAGAGCACTAGGGCTGAGTAATGGTGATGGTTGACTGACATTCCTGATCCAGAGGTTGGGATACCAGCTTCCCCAACACTAGAAGTAGCTCCAAATTGCCAGAGACTCAGCTCAACTCAACTTTTGAACTAGCTTCCTCACTCCTCCCAGGGTGATGCTCAGGGCCCCCAGGTAGAAGGAAAGGATCCAGGGTCTCATTGGGTGGATGATTTTTTTCTTCTCAGGCCTCCAAGGAAGTACCCTCCAGGGATGGGATCAATGACCCCATATTTCCAGGGTGGGCTAGATCCCCGGAGTGCAGAGACCCAGCCAACTTTCCTCTCCTTTTCTCTGCTGACCTGCCCATCTAACCCACGGGCCCTTCACCCCCTGCTCCCCCTCCTCTCTTGCAGGCCTGTTTGAAGAGCATGCAGCCCCCTTACTCCCCACCTGGCCTCGCCATCCCTGCCCCCCCAGCCTGACCCCCGGCCCCAGCATGGCCCAGGGTGCCATGCGCTTCTGCTCGGAAGGTGACTGTGCCATCTCCCCACCACGATGCCCTCGCCGCTGGCTCCCCGAGGGCCCAGTGCCCCAGAGTCCCCCAGCCAGCATGTATGGCAGCACAGGCTCCCTGCTGCGGCGAGTGGCAGGTCCAGGTCCCCGAGGCCGGGAACTGGGACGTGTAACTGCACCCTGTACACCTCTGCGTGGCCCCCCTTCTCCCCGCGTTGTACCCTCACCCTGGGCACCCTCTTCACCCACTGGGCAGCCCCCACCGGGGGCCCAGAGCTCCGTGGTCATCTTCCGCTTTGTGGAGAAGGCCAGTGTGAGGCCACTGAATGGGTTACCTGCTTCTGGAGGCTTGAGTCGGAGCTGGGACTTGGGTGGAGTTTCTCCTCCCAGACCAACCCCAGTCCTTGGGCCTGGCTCCAACCGGAAGTTGCGGCTAGAGGCATCCACATCAGATCCACTCCCAGCTGGAGGAGGTTCTGCCCTTCCTGGCAGCAGGGACCCCTTACGTGGGCCACCAGTCCCATCCCAGGTTGGAGCAGATGGTCTTTACTCTTCTCTTCCCAATGGTTTGGGGGGCCCCCCTGAGCGCCTGGCTACACTATTTCGAGGACCTGGTGACACTGGATCCCTGAACCAGGTATGCAACCTGCCTTCGGTTTCCTGAAGCCCTAGTGCCCCAATGAAGGGACAAGGCTTGGTTCCCCTGTCAGGCTTGGGCCTATCTCTGGATTTTTCAGTGTTCTAAATCTGTCTCTTTCTTGCCTTCTGTGTTTGTCCTTGTGTCTCTGCACCTCCATTTCTGTCCCTGTGTTTTTATTTGTTTCTGTCCCATATTGTCCTTGTATATCTCTGGCTTCATCTCTGGGTGCTGCCTCTGTCTCTCCCTCCTTGGCTCAGGGGGACACCTGGTCCTCTCCCCGGGAAGTCTCCTCTCATGCCCAGAAAATTGCTCGAGCCAAATGGGAATTCTTCTATGGCTCCTTGGATCCCCCCAGCTCAGGTAAGGCCTGGGACTGAGCCAGGGGAAGGGGGGCAGGGCCTCCCAACAGCAGCTGAGGACAGGTAGGGAGGCTTCCTTCAAACCTGCCCCAATCCTTTCCTGGGCTCCTTAGTTAGCCAAAGCCTCTCCCAGCCTCAGTCTTCCCATATGTGTCATGATGGTGGACAGGCATAGAATGGGAACCTGAAGGAGGTTCAGCCATGGAGGGAGGGGACAGCAGAATATCAGAGTCATTCTTTGGAGTAGAAAAGACACTGATCTCCTTCAGGCTTCTCAAAGTTGACAATGACTTAGTTTGAAATGAACTCCACTGGATAAGCAAAGTTTGTGACAGGAGGAATGGTGGCTAGACAGTGAAAGAACTTCCTGCCAACATGAGACCATGGGAGAGTTGCAGACTAGGACCAGGACAGGGGACTGAAATGGATAAACTCCTGACCCATATGCCTATGCACACTACAGGTGCTAAACCCCCAGAGCAGGCCTCCCCATCTCCATCTGGGATGGGCTCAGGGCAGGGCTCTGGGGTAGCTGTGGGGCAAGCAACCAAGTACTCCGAGACGGACCTGGACACGGTGCCCCTGAGGTGCTACCGAGAGACTGACATCGATGAGGTGCTGGCTGAGCGGGAGGAGGCTGACTCAGCCATCGAGAGTCAGCCCAGCTCTGAGGGCCCACCTGGCACTGCCCGCCCACCTGCCCCACATCCTGGCCCATGCCCTGGCCTTCATTCCAGCCTGGGCAGTGGAGATGAGGACGAGGATGAGGCAGGTGGGGAAGAGGATGTGGATGATGAGGTGTTTGAGGCCTCAGAGGGGGTCCGGTGAGTGGGGAACTGGGAGAGGAAATGGCTTGCTCCTTCCCACTGGCCCATAGACAAGAGGGTGGGGTGTGGGTGTCATAGGGACATGGATAAGGATGAGAGCAGGGCTGGGAGGGTCAGAACCAAGTTGATGGTTCTGACAGGGCAGTTGGAATATAGATTTCAGGCAGAGGACTGAGGCCTGGCAGTGTTGGGGATGTGGGGGCATCAGCAAGAACCCAGGAGACAGAGGAGCCAAGGCGTTTAGAGGATCAGAGGCAGGAATGAGAGATCAGAAGTCAGAATTCATCCTGATGACATGGGAACATCAGTCCAGAGCCTGGGGCCAGGCAGGAGACTGGGGAGCGTGGGGGCTTTCCTTTCTGTCTCACACCCCATTGCAGCTTGGAGCCTCATCTTCTCCTAAGATGTTGCCAGAAATAGAAATGGGATGGCAGGAGGGAAGCGGATCAGGGGAAAGGAGGAGAAAGGGAGATTAGCAGGGAGGGAGGAAGAGGGGGATTGGGTGCTGGGGTGGGCAGGGCTGGGGTGCTGCAGAAGCACCGAATCTTTTGCACCCTCAACTCAGCTAGCTCTTTTTTTTGGGGGGGGGGTGAACCTGTGAAAAGGGGATCATAATCCCCTTAACAGAGTCAGTGTGAGAGCTCAATAAAATCATGCCCCAAACCTGTGCTCTGGGTCCCTGATCAGACATTTCCTTGCCCTTGCAGGT